GACTTCCTCAGAGAGCCCTCTGCACTTACCACTTGAACTTCCCCATCCTGATGCCTCTTTCTACCCTTGCAGCCTAGCTAGCTGCACCAAACCTGCCCCTCCCAGGGTCTCTTCCTGCAGTTCCCGGCCTTAAAGCCAGTGGCCTCTTCTCAGCCCCTGTCCTCCCTGACCCTTCTGCAGCATTCGGAACTGGGAACCATGTCCTCCTTGAAATCCCCTCCTCCTGTGGTTTCCATGAGCTCTGTGGCCCAGTCTCCTTTCACTGTGCCCTCTCCCCTACCCCAAGCCCCCCAAATGTCAGTGGCCCCCAGAATTCTTTCCCCAACCTTCTTTTCTCACTCTGCACTCCTCCCCCAGCACTCACAGTGCCAACTGCTGCCTGAAAGCTGATGCCCCTCCCACCCAGACCTCTCCTGAGCACCAGACCTCGTGGCCTGGACACCTTTCCTCGATGGCCTAGATTCATCGTCTGTTCAAAGCGTCCAGACCTGGCCCATCCGCCTCCTGTCCTCTACTCCCCCCGGGAACTTTGGCCATATTTCCACCTGCCTCCGCCTGCTTTTCTCCATGAATAACACCGTCTGCCCAGTTGCCTGGTAGAAATCACCGCGCCCTCAGACTTCTTGCACACAATTGCCACCCCTTACACGTCTGCTTTGTCTCTGGAAACCTGCCCACAAGCATTGCCCTAGTCCCAACTCCTATTACCTCTCTGCCTGGTCTCCTTTCCTCTCTTCTGATCCATGTCCAAAATGCTACCAAAATTGTGTTTCTCAAACATTTCCTCCCCCTCCTCTAGCACCTGCGGTGCTTCTGTGCCTCCTGTACTACGCGTAGGTTGGCCTTCGGTTCTCTAGCATCATCTGCCACCAGGGCCCTCTGGGCACTCGGTGCTCCAGCCACGTGTGCTCACTGTGGGGCAGCGCACTCTGTGACCTGGTCTCAAGTTATGCCGCTACTCTAACGCCACTCCGTGGAGGAACAGGAGGGAAGCACGTCAGCGGGGCTGGTGACACCAAGGAAGCGGCAGGATCTGGTGCCCTGTGAGGATGGCGCACCAGGCGTGGCTTGTCCATCGTCTTTGTATGACCCGCTGGCACCTCTGGATGAGGGGGTGGCGCATACCAGCACCCGGTCAATCTCATTAACGTGCAGGGCCTGGATCCAGTCCGGAGACAAGGCAGGAGGAGCCTGGCTGTGAAGCAAGACAGGCTCTGATTTCCTGGAGCCCCTGCCGCCACTCCGATCTCGCCTCCTG